AGCACTTTCAAGGTAAATATTCTTATTGATATCATTTTTATTTTCGTTGATAATTGTCCTTAAAACATAAACCTGGAAGTGCACTTTCAAATGGTTCATCATTTTACATCGTGAGCTTTGTTATATGAATTTGGGTCTAATTTTTTTTTGGACAGACTAAGTGAAAACAAACATGGCTGACAAAGCGGAATCACCTCAATGTTTGCTGTAATCTCCCGGAAGCATTAATCACAACAAAAATACATGAAAATTGCAGATTCGGTTAAGTCCGTTTTGTCCGGGGCTGAGATATTTGGCATGAAGAATTGTCTTGTGGACCCTACAAAAGTTATAGCTCTTCAGTGTGGGTCAGTCATACTGCCTAGAGCATAGGTATTTATAATGAATCATGATCAATGTCTTGTGGACCTTGACAAAGTTTGCTCAAATCATGACCCTGAGGTAAAATTGACCTTGTCCCGGGAACAAAGACTTCTATAGGTAATATTTGCGCAGACACATAAAGGGAAAACTTGTAAAAACTTTCAAAAGCTTTTTTAGCTCAAGCACAAGATCACAATTTATCCATCCGCCGTCGTTAACTTTGAAGCCACTGGTTCAAGTGCTCCATTGAACACTGGTCAGAAGGGCTAAAAAAGATGTTAAAATGAAATCTTTAAAAATCTATTTAAGCGCAATGCCCAGAGCTTAGATATTTTGTATGTAGCAAACAATTTTATAGCTTCATTCGACGATGCTAAAAAAATTGTTCAAATTATAGCCCTGGTGCCAAAATTGGTCACACCTTCACATGTCATTGCGTTTCCTTGCGTAGCAAATACTTAAAACATCTTATAAAACTCGATAGCTTAGATATTAAGCATGAAACATTTTCAAAAAATGTTCAAATTACAGCCCTTGTTTCAAAAACGGTCCTAATCAAATAAAGGTCGGAATAGGACCCACCGTTTGCAATGTGCAGCACAATCTTATTCTCCACTGCCTGCGTTGTATTCACTTTTTGTCAATTCTTTTGTAAACATTAAACATGCAATAACAAATGTACTGTAAAAATGTTTGTTTTGTTGTTTTGTCTTCTGTTCTGTTTTGTATTTTGTCATTTTCTTTGAGCTTTGATGATTGTTTATGTTTTCCTTCAGTACACATTTTATGTCTGATGAATGAATAAAATCTTGAAATTGTTTACTTTGCTATAAAATGTGTACTGAAGGAAAACATAAACAATCATCAAAGCTCAAAGAAAATGACAAAATACAAAACAGAACAGAAGACAAAACAACAAAACAAACATTTTAACAGTACACAGCCCTATATACAAGTATCATACCCCCACAAAACTGCCAGCCTGCCCTTGTACATGCAAATACATATTAAAGAAATTTGTTTCTGATAACAACAATGGTATCAGAGCGAGATTAAACAAAAAATAGTTAAGACTATGGAAAATGATTGTCTTAACAAGTACTGCTTTAGCACTAAAAGTCAGTACTAACAGGGATATCAACAGTAAAAAAACTATTTGACAACATCCTTTATTAATAACTTAGCAAAATGATGCTAATTGGTTAATTTTGCTTTGCTGTTACAGTTTTTAAGTTGGCTTAACTTAAATGCACTTGGATGATGCCAATAATTCTTATCAGTATATTTATTTCTGAACACACTCCAAAAGATAGTGAAACTCATCACCTATCATATTTTTATTACAAAAAGTACATATCTTGTCGACCTTAGGATATGTGGCCTGCTTTTTAAAATTTGTCTTTTGACATCATATCTGTGATATGCAGGCTTTATAACCTCAGATCCCCTTTCAAAATTCCATTTTATTTAGTTCCGCCCATTGTTTTCTCGTTTAGGGCACATGCATTTTTTTACTTGAAGACCATATGCCGCTTTTTCAATGGTAAATTTGGCAACTAACCGTGGTTTCCCCAACAATTTTGGAAAGGTTCCCCAAAAAATGATAATACCGGGCCCATAATTGAAACACATCTGCGGCTTGTTTCAAAATTTAAATTTTTACCAGTTTTTTTTTGATTCATGTTAAATGTTTGAATTCCTGCTTAAGCCGGTGCTAGGGGGCGTGGACGGTAGTTTTCACTTGACAATACCGTCCATGAACAGGCTCAATCAAACCGAGCCTGCAACATTTTCAATTATGCCGTGTTGGGCTTTCCTTAGGGATTCTTATTTTCTCTACTTTTTCAATTGGCAGACAATGATTCTTTGTTCTACATTTACATAAAATTTTACTTAAATTGACAGACAGGGTATCCAGGTAATTTTCGAAGCATTACCTAATTTTTATTAGTTAAAAAGATCGTTGACAGGTTATATGGCCCTATATAAACGGCTGTTTGTAAATATAATCCGAGCCTCTAGGCGGGGGTTATATTGCAAACAGCCGTTTATATACGGCAATATATCCAGTCAACAATCTTTATTACGAATTAATAATACAGCACGCATCATTTTTTAGAGAAAAAAGTAAGACTTCTTAATGAATCGACAGAAGCCGTGTATATTAAACTATATAAACGTCACGATTATCCAATGAAAAGCGACGTTAAAAACGTGCAGTATTATAATAGACATTTAGATGAATTTTCTATTGTACAGTACCATTCCTGTACAAATTGATCATCTTAGTCTCAACTTAAAAGCGTTCTTTAACTGGCTATTTAAAGTTAATAGTATTTTAACTGTTAAAACAATCTGACATCCCCAAACTATCTAAAAAGTATTTTACAATATGAATCCATGGACAACAATGATAAATATTATTTTGTTTTGATAATGCAGTGTTCTATCTTGTCATCCTTTGACAGAATAAATTTAATCTACTGATATAACACTCTAACCTTAATAGCAACAGAAATTGATTTACACCCGATTCCCCACATAGCATACAATTAGAGATAAAACTTTTGAGATTTCAGATAATTTTACAAAATTTCAATTGGAATTACTCAATTAAATTAAAGTTCTCAAAGCCCCAAATCTCACAGCCATACATCAAAATTGGTGCTAACACGGAATCAAACAAATACAATACAATACATTTTCATCTTTTTTATAAAATTCAAAGCTTTGATGAAAATCGAAATGTAGTTATAAAAAAAACGTTGTGCACTGTGAATACTTACTTTCTGTCTGGTGTTATAGTTAACGTAGCTTAACACCTGGATCACATTTTTTACCTATTTCAATTTGACATCGGTAAGAAAACTCAAATAAGCAACTTGCAACAAAGATTGTAGAAATATACACGTTCGTTACTATCGAAACGGATTCTCAACTGAAACCCTTTTCGCAGAATAACACCCGTTTCCATGCTAAATATTTCTAAGAAATAAAACGGTCTGCATTTGTAGCAAAGTTTTTATTAAAACTGGTTTAAAAAGAAGGAGACAGGGTGTGTCATTTATTCCACAGCATGATACAAGAAGAAACCAACTGTTTAAAGACATGTATTACCGGGACTTGGTAGTGGAGGTGGTTAGGTTGAAATCTGTTGTAAATCTATTTTTGTCACTTGCCTATAAATGTCAGTTTCTTGAAAATACAATATGTATACTCAAATGAGATTTGTTAATGCCCAGAGAAAATCTTTACAAAAACATAAAGAACGAAATACAACCGTTACCCATGAGGTTTGAACAATTCGAGGATTATCGGCTACCACGTGATTTGATCCTTTATCCCTGTCATAAATGCGCCCAACAAGGGATGTTTCTAATAATGGTGACATCGTTGAACTTCCGGTTAAGCCATTTGCATCAAATTTCAAAGCAAAAGGTGGTGGCAACTCGAGGGTTCCATTTCTGCATGTCACTACTTGTGGTGTAATATAAGGAGTTGAAAAATTACCTCTCATATTAAAATATTGAAAGTTTCCGTCTGCATCATGAGTGTATCGACCACACGAACGATTGTCCTCCGAAACACATTTCAGCAGAATACAAACCTGAAGGAAATATGGACCGTTATTAGTGTGTATTCCACTAAAAACTCCAAAAGCGTAATTGCCCTTTATATCGTATCGTTCATACGAAAGGAAACAGCAAAAATCTTCATAACAAATTGTAACTTTTTCATTTTTTGACCGAAGACTAATAAAATTATACATATCACCGAACAGTCTGCCTTGAAATTCTTGTTTTCGTAAAAACTTTATTTCAGTAGTGTTAATAGTAAACTTTGTGAATACCCTTCTTTCGTGACTAATGACGGGGACATGGGTAACCAGAAGACGTCCATTTTGTGAACTTCTGTCATAGTAATACGATAGAGCGCCATCTGGTGTGTATATCCCACTGCCTTGAATTCGTTCCGATGGATTGTGGAGATTCGCGCTGAGGAAATTGACGTTATACGCATGCGCAAAAGATGAGTGGTAGCCAATAGCAGTAAAGAATGGCAATGCGTCCATCCATGCTGTGGTGAACACGATATCAGTTACACCAACTTGTTCCAGCAAATTAATGACAGGACTCTTGAACAAAATATCAAAACAAGTCAAGATCCCAAACCTTCCGAAGTCAGTTTCAAAGAAAATCGTTTCTGCATTAACAGGCTGTTGGAATTGTGTCTCTAAGAACAAATTCTGTTTGTGATATCTTGCAATAAGTGTTCCTTCTCTATTATACACGATATTAGTATTATATTGGTAGTATCCGTTCCGAGGACAATTAGAATCGGAAGATAGACAAGGTTGTCTATCACCATAGTTAGCAACTAGGTATATGGAGTTATTCATTGCAAGACAACTAAGGAACGCTTGCACCCTTGTGCGTTTATACCGATCAGGTTCAATGCATGGCGTCCAGTTGACCTTTGAAGGATCGGGAATAAATTCTAGGTAGTTTTCTATATCGGAGGGTGAGTTTAGTTTATATCCATATATTCCATTTTCTGGGAAGACAATTATATCAACATCCTGAAGAGAGAATTTAAATGGTTATTGTTGTCACATATATCAAGTTTGTTTGTCGATAACTAAATCCATAAAAATAAAAATAAACACAAAAAACAACAACTATGAAACACCCCAAATCTAAACAACTAAAAGAAACCTGTATGGAACTTGTTGCTGTTGTTGTTAACATGTCTATAATGTCTGATCAAATTTAATCTGTCCATTAATGTCTTTTACAAATAACATAAGTATCAGTCGGTTGAATAAATGACATCTTCGAGTTATATTACTTGCACGGATTTTTCCTTGTGGGCAATTTTTTTTCTGAATTTTGTATACATTTACGTTTTCCATGTTACTTTCATATTCTATATTAATATACGTAAATTTTTAATTTCATTTTCATTATTATTATATAATACGATTATTCTTAGCTAGAAACTCACATGCGCGAATCATGCACTGGTCATGATAAAAATGAAACGTCATTTATTGTCTACTGCACAGGAAAATTTAACAACTTTAATGCTGATCCCATCCCTGTTAGCGCTACATATAAATCTTGATTTTTAAACTTTCCGACAACTCCCTTTATGTACTCAGAAAAAAATCAAGAAAACCGTAAAACCGCGGCAATATACGCCCGAATGTTAATTTGTTTGAGTTATCAAAACTAAACTTTCAATTAGGAAAGTGATCCATCCAAGAAACTTGTCTGGAAAATGTTTTATTTTAATCATCCTCATGATACTGAATGACAGGATGGAGACATTCTTTGCCATAGGTACATGATTCATAAAGCTTTTATAGAGGTCTACTAGGAAATGCTATATGCCAAATATAGAAGCTCTGGCCACAAGAAGATAGGATGTGTTTTCCTGTACATTAGTCGGGGCAGAGCCAAATTTGACCTTAGGGTCATAATAAATATAAATTTTGTACTGATGTTGTATGTCAACTACCTAAGCTGTAGGCTGCCACTTTGTTTTAATTTCTTTCTTTCAGTTTAAAAGATACAGAGCGGACACGGAATTTTACAATTCATACAAAATGACTATAAATCTGCCATTGACCTTGACCTAAGGAAGGTCAAACCTGCGCTCTGCAAATCGTTTCGTTCTGGTTAACATTTCTTTTTGTCTTTTTTTTTCTTTTTTGGTTATATATTTTTTTATTATCCAGCTCGTATAAATAAATACATTGCACACATTTTACAAATTTACAAACATATTTCAGATTATTTTAATTGTAAGAATAAACAATGGTTGCATCATAAAAAAACTTTACAGAGAATAAGTACTGTTAAACTGATTTAACATTATGCTTATAAAAATTGTAAAAGTAGAAAGGTAATCTAGAGCATGATGTATGTTTTTCAAAGGTATTTATAGATATATTTTCATTTATTAAAAAATAAACGTTTCTAAGTAGAATGTGTACATTATATTAAAATACTAAAGGATTAACATTTCTGCCAAATAGTTTTAATTTCCTTCAATCGGTACAAATAATACAGACAGGACAAGAAATGGCTAACAGACGGACGAACGAACAAATGCATTACAATATATGCCAAAATTCTTTCGGGGCGTATTAAAGTACTAGTAACTGTGTCCTAAACAAGATAAGATAACTAACTTTTTGATGAGCATTAATAAAACAATAGGTGTTTTATTATGTTTTATTAGGTGTTTTATTCATACTCATATATATATAGCGCCTGACCAATTTAATTTCGTAAATATGTACTAATAAATTTTAACCAGCTTAGTGTTTTAAATTATGTTTAATAAACAGATGATTACAGTTTGTCGAAAGTAAATGTGTAAATACTGCAATCCTCTTGGACAAAAAATAATTTCAAACACTAAAGAGTTTTTAATCATGCAACCTAAAATTCGTCGGCCCACTTATTTCTCAACCATAAAATTTCACGAACGCACATAAACGACAGACGGCGCATGTCAAGATTATTTATGATATGTCTCAAAACTGTATCGAAAAAAAAAGATATAAAGAGAAAATTCAGACGTAATTATGCAACAAGTTTACATGAAAGATTGTGTCAGTGTGCCATTATAAAAGTAAAACTAATGTCAGAGTGACTTTATACAAGTAAAACTATTTCAGAAAAGTAAAAATTATGTCAAATTGACTTTATAAAAGTAAAAGTTATGTCAGAGTTTTGCTATAAAAGTACACTTATAAAAGTAAAAATTGTGTAAAAATAAATAAAAAAATGTTTTAGTGTAAGATTATTTTACTAATAAAATAATTAACTTAATTAATTTAATTTAATCGACAGTTTTATAAAAATAATTTCAAACACTAAGTTGGTTAGTGGTAAGCATTTACTATAACGGCTATGCCGTTATTAACCAATTTTACTTTTATAAATGCTTACTTATAAACATAATTTTTAAAGAGCAACGGATAAAATCGAAAGATGAGATGAAAAAGAGAAGACAATAGATCATAAAGAAAAGAAGAAAACATTTTTTCCAGAGAAAATAACTCCCGAAAATCTTTGCAAACAATAGAAAAGAGACAAGGGTACAGCATTTTCACTCTAGTTTTGACATGTTTTTATTTGCATGAATCTGACACGAAAATATGAAGAATAACGTATCAAAGCCCGCTTTAAGACAAAATGAATGACCGCACTCGCTTCCAAACCATTCTCCGTGCCTATATAAGTACATAAAGCTTAATAAATGCTTTGGAGTAAACAGTTGGTCGGGTGACCAATTTATTAATTTCTACATTTTACTTAAATATTGAAGGATGAAAGACGGCCATACAGAACCTTTATTTAAATATTTTTTAATGTTAAACCTATTAGCGGTAATAAGTGTAATTAATGTCCTTTACACTTGTCTATAAGACTCTCAACATGAACTTGGAAAGTATATAATCAGAAGATCTGTAAAACTTTTGCGTTGGCAAGTTAGTATTGGATATGCATATTTGCATATGCTTATACTGTCACAGGTGACCTTAGCTCTCCGGCAGGTTGCGTTTTTTACGTCACACAGATTTAACGGCATGATAAAATATGGTCCTAAATTTTTTTTGTCAGCCTAAAATTCAAGGAAAGTAATTTTAGATTGTATTTATTTAGGCTCACACACAGCCAGTTGATTAATGCATCTGCTGTACAATATCAGTGTTCAGGCCACTGTAAATCCCGCCAAAACGGTATTTAAAACGCCAATTCAAATAAAAACGAAAAAAAAATCCATTTAAGTGATCAGAGGTGTTGAATTATTAAACTGCTAGTAAAATAGCAAAGTTAGCGGTAGCATATTTTAAATATAATTAATTTTCTTGTGTTGATATTTATTTTAACTATTCGAATATGTTCAGATTTAGAATTGTTTTTGTCTACAATGCTTAATTTGTAATCTAATTATAATTCAATTTGAGTACATGTAGATTCTTTTTTTTTTTAATTATTTATTCTAACGTTTTTATATACATGTATTGAAAATAGCATCGTCGGATACCCACGATTGATAAACATGTCACATACATGCAATCAAGTAAGAAATCTATTTTAGAAAACTATTTAACCCATTTTTGGGCCAAATCGGCTTTCGCTAGCAAGCTAAAGTTTTAGCGGACTGTAACACAGACTTTAGTTGCACTCGATTAAATACAACACAATATATTTTAACCTGTTAATGACTCTGTGAGTGCAATGCAGTTTTAAATATATTCAATGAATAAAGCAAATAACTCTTTTACGCGACACAACAACAAATAATTTGTAACAAAAACATGCTGACTTTCAAACTTATACTTTTGACTTAAATATCAATCCAAGAAACTGTTTAACTCTTGCTCAAGTTAAAACATGAAACAATGTAGTACAATTGACGGGAATGTTTTGGGCTTATAGGTTTCCATTAAACAAGACTTTCGTGAGAATGAAAAGAAGTCCTGTAACATTTATTTATAAGCGGTCTAGTGGTTACTCGTACAATGAAGGTCTTAAAGAAAGTTAATTGACAAACGTACGTACAGACAGACAGACAGACAGACAGAAAGAGGAACTGACAGCTAGTGATCTATGTGTCAAGTTAACAATTTAAAAAGGTTTTCTTTAAATGTGTGATTGCTGGTTTGTATTGATTTGGTATTACTGAAATTATTTCTTACTAACAGTAAAAATGTGAATATAATGTATAACTTTATCAAATGATTTAAAGTTTGAACAAAAAAGTTGACATGTCCCTGATGTAACAGACTTGTTCTTGATTTTGTTTTCATAGTTTTAGTATCTCAGTGTTGATTTATTTTTCTGGTCCTTCGGGATCACTGATTCCGATACTTTTAATGCATAGAATTGAATACCGCGACGGGGCGAGAGAAGTGCTGCACTCAATTATCGCTCATGGACATACTCTATAAAACCAAATCTGCGATTTTTAACTGCTTTCAAAAATTCTCCAATTTCTAGAACTTTAATACTAAAAATAAAATTAAATAAAAAATGTTCTGTAAACTTGACATGCGTCTTTGTCTATAGCGATCTCTTTTTTCCTTTCACTTTAAAATGTTATAAAGAAAAAGAAAAGAAAAAATAGACGGAATGAATGATATTGCTCTTTTATGAAATTTTTCAAAATATGTATGGGTGGTAATATCATATTTGAAAGATATTGTAAATTTTCCTACTTATGTCATTTATGTCTAAAACAATCTCTTGGGATAATTTCATTACTTATTTGAATGTAGCCTTTTATTCTCTTGGTAAAAAGTTTATTGATTCAAAATTCTCAAATCATCCTAATATTTATAAATTAGAATCTTTGATGAATAGCTTTGACTATTCAATTTTATTAAAACTTGCATTATTCTGCCAAATTATTATTTCAAAATTAAATAACTCATTCTCTTGTATGACATGATTTTCTCAACCTGTATGAGTGTATTAACATATAATAATTTAGATAGCATTTATATAAGACAAATCGTGTCCAAAGGGTAAAGATAAGTCAAATACCTATATGTGTTAGTCAAATTGGCCTCATAATTATAAAATTTTATGTATATATGTTTTGTTAATCACTTTTGAATAACTGTTCATTATATTGTTTATCTATCATAATCTTATGCATATTATATGCCTTTGTTTTGAATAAAATCTCGAATCTTGTTTTTGTCTGTATTTCTTTTACATTGAGGCAATATGGAAACATTTCTTATATATATCAGTGAGTTACAGTAATAAGTTTGTTTTGCGCCATTTGCTTCTAAGGAAATATTGAACATATGTTTATCAAGTAGGTACATTGATATTTGAATTATTGTTTTGAAATATACAAAACTTTTGTGTAAATTACAGCAGATATATAGCTTTATACACTTTAATGCAATGTAAATACAGATTTTATTTCCTTTTCAAAAGCCTACTGTTGCTGGACGAAGATTTAGTTTTGATTTAAAAACAAGAATGATCAAATTTATTACAAAAAAGTATAAAAAATGTACTATAAGCTGTTTATTATATGTTACTTCTTCGGCAAATGATGCAAAAGCAAAAAAGTACATTTTAAGCTGTTTATTATATGTTGCTTCTTCGGTAAATGGTGCAAAAAGGTAAAGGCAAGCAAAAGAGAAAAACTAGGTTATGAAAATATAGTCATTGTATTGTTTAATTAGTAAGGAATTTAACTATAAAATATGCAGAAATTTCTTTTCTTTTTTTCTTCGTAAGTTACGCGGTAAAAGTTTGTGATAAAAGTAGTAAATTCTGTCAAATTGATATTTAAAAAAAATTACCTCATCAGAAAGCGTGCCGCTTAGAATACAAGAAAGCATATCATGAAAACAAATTGAACTTGCGTAAATTATATATAAAATATAAAGTAAATAACTTACAAGTTGGCCTGCAACGTCTGTCTGTATTTTATAGATGTTAAGATTAGCTGACATCTGTATAAAAGCCTCTTCGTAAGATTCTGCTACTTTATCCGGAAATATTACGGCATGTTCATATACGGCCGCTTTATAGAAAACATTTTTACCAACAACCGGACAGTGAAGCATCTTAAACACAGTATTCAAAACAATGATGGCGACAAAAATCAAAATTTGGCTTCTACCAATACTAAAATTGGCGCATGGTTGGAGTTCTTTTAACCGAAACATAATCAACACATAAACGCTTTTAAATAACGTATCTTCACATTTGGTATGCCGAAATAAAATAAATATATTTGTTCAATACGGATTATTTTATTTATTTATTTTTTTGCACGCGAGATATGCATGAAAACTTCTGCATTTTATTTTTCGTGTGCATTTTTTCACACTCAGTTGATTTTTGGATGACACGTGCACTTAAATGAAACTGAAAGGTATCTATATATTTGTCCCACCCGCCGTACAATCTATTTTTCACTCGTCTTTTCAGTGTGCTTATTGATCTATTGATTTCTGAAAATGTTGTCATAATTATCCAAAAAATATCATTTTGTCTTATTTTCTTTTCGTTTTCTTACGTAAAAATATTGCGTAACAAAATAGGTATTATATATTGTGTAAATGTATTACATACAGTGAAAAATAAGCAAGAATCTTCTATAGGAATGTCCTAGGCAAATGCCCTGTACACCGGTAGCGAAAGTGATGAATATTTGTTTCAGGTACATGTAGAAATGGATGCACTGTGGGACAGAGGTGACAAGTGCACTTCTTTAATTTACAAATTCCTAAAAAACAACTCATTTTTATGTGAGTCTCTTTAAACAAATTTAAAAACATGCATTTTTTTCCAAAATGCATAAAAATGTGCCAAATATGCCATTAAACATCAAACAAAACTGCAGACAAATAACTTTGCGGCCAAAGCGTAAAGGGAAGTCACTGGAATAATAATTTACTTTTATTATATCACTTTATTTTAGTTTGGTTAAGTAGGCAGCTATAAGCTTGCTGAAACACTCTCGAATCAGTTCCTGTAACCAACCAGTACTAGGTTAGGAGCTCACGGAAACAACGGCTTCGGAGTTTGAACCCACACGTCCAGCAATCCCAAGAACACTAATACGACGTGTTAACCACAATAATTTGGGACATCTACGAATCAACCATATAGGTGGATCAGATTGATAATAGAAAGTTACTTAATATAGAGTAGCCCTGGAATCTGATGTTCAAACTCAGAATGCCAGAACAAACAAATTAAAATGAAAAGATCAGATACAAATATAATAAGGCTTACTCGGACATTACGCGCACATAATAATGAATGTGTTATATACATATTCACAAATTTTTGTAACAATGCATATGGATAAAAATACGAACAGAAAAAGGGGAAAGAAATGTGTAAAACGGAGAATGACAAATGACGGACACGAACACAGGCGGCAGTATCAGTGTTTGGACACCCCACCCCTATCTGCCCCTGGACCCCTGCTACAACCCTGAAAAAAAATTCAACACTCTAAGGCTAACTATAAGGTACCAAAAACAAAACCACCGATGAAATTATATAAAAAGAAAATTTTCCACTATCAAAATTATAGTAATAGAAAGGTGTAAAGCCTACTATATGTCCATTTGCCAAACAATGTGGAACACGGGAAATCGTCGTTTCGGCGACTGAGGCGCATTCCGGCGGGATACTGCCGCCTGTGGACACGAAGTGACAAAAAAGCAACAACAAAATCTTACGTAAATACTGGCAAAATGTCAAGCCAATCGATTTCATAAACCACATGTTTTAAAAGAGATTAAAATGTGAGTCGTTATGAAACCAACCATATGCAAACAGTTTATCAGCTACAGATTTTGTCTTCTAAAAACAGTCGCAGAATTAACAAGTTTACTGTCTGTTTGGTTAAATGTATTTTAATGATGAAATTGGAATGAATGTAGGTACCCATACACAGGTTGTATGGAGCAGATAATTCTTACAGGCTAACAGTTTTTTTTCAAAGGTATTTAGTTTAAACAATATTTTATTTATAAACATTACATTTACATCATATTTGACCAAAAATAATTAGTACTGATTGAGTAGGAAGCTTGACAAGCTTTTTTAGAAACTCTTTCCGTAATCACTATTATATAGTATTTATAATGGTAACAATTATATATGCATTTTTGTGTTAAATATACATAACATTTTCACTATAAACTAACAAGAAAGTTAGCAATTTGCACTATGATTTTCCTAATCGAACCGACCTGAATAATAAAGTATAGAGGAAAACCCTATAGCGCTATAGCATAAATACACGTTAGTGATAAAAGCACAAATTAGCACGTTTAAACTTATCAAGAAAAATAATAGAACATTAAACATGTTTGAAAAAAATAAAGAAAAAAAAAGATACGGAAACGTAAGTTAATAGTTGAAATTGTTGGGTAATAGAAGGTAAGAAGTAAGAGACAGATTTGAGAGAAAGAAGAAAAACAACAGGAAATGGTTACTATAATAGTATGGAGTTGATGGAACGAGTTTATATATACTTTTGAGAAGATTTATGCATCTCTATTTCATCTTAGTCTAGAAAATAACTCTTCTATTACAATTTAAACATTTTTGTTCTAGTGTGTAAATATGAGTGTATATGTAGGAAATTGCTTCATTTAAATCGTCAGCAATTGAATTATCACCATAGAGTAAAACGTTAAGTGTGACAGTTATCATTTCGTTTAAATTGTTAATGAGGACATTTCGTTCATCTTGGTACCTTGGGCACGAGAAGAAATAATGAGATGTGTTTTCTATGTCGCCACATTCACATAGGGGACTTTCTATTATGTTTTTTGAAAACAAATGTTCTTTGAGAGAACTACAATGTGTTCTAAAATAGAGAAAATAAGAACCCCTAAAGAAAGCCCAACACGGCAAAATTGAAAATGTTGCAGGTTCGGTTTGATTGAGCCTGTTCATGGACGGTACGGTCAAGTGCAATTTACCGTACACGCCCCTAGCACCGGCTTAAGCTGAATTCAACATTTAAAATGAACTGGTACAATTTTTAATTTTGAAACATCCGCAGAATAGACAATAATGTCGTGCTGAACGATCTTTAAGGATCGAAAATATAACATCTCTGATTGAATGTACGGGGCGTCTTTTTACAGCCTCCACACGGCACAAACAACGCTGATGTGGCGATAAAATAGAGAAAATAAGAACCCCTAAAGAAAGACTTGTGTGTATAATCTGGTATTTTCTCTTACATACATAGTAATGAGAAGGCACACTTTGGACATCTTCATTAAGTCTTCGTTTGAAAATGGATGGTGAATTTCTGTAATTAACAGGAATCCAAATGTATTTCTAAAAGATGAATGATTTTTCCTGTGAACCACTGTTATTACATGTACATGTACTAAAAAGTATTTGGTTTTGTTTTGCTAACCATAATAAAACCACCTGTTCACTGATTCCATTTTAACATTTTTTTTACCTTTTTTTTATCTATCAAGCCTATGTAATGGCAGTAAATTGTTCCAAAAAAAATGCAAGGCTTGTGCATAGATACAGAAAACTAAGTGTGGAGTGTTTCCTGAAATAATTGAAAACTGGTATTGAGGTTTTAGTTATTAATATTCACATATTGTTAAAATTTGATCAACCTAAAAATGTTTCAGAATGTTAGCAATGATTGATGATTATATGTTCATGCCTTAGATAGGGCAGATAGATGATATACATATCATTTATCATTTAGGGTAATATATAAGTAATAAAAACTACTATAATGTACTTTTAGTATTCAGTTCAATGAGTTAACATGGGTAAAAGTTAAGTTTGGAATTTTGATACTCCTGAAGTTTGGGATTTAATATTCCTGAAACATAAGCTTTTTCGCTACCATTTTAAGTAAAAAAACACTATAACATAATATTGATTTCAAGATTTTTTGACATCTTAAACTTTTACCCATGTTAGTACTGTAGACCTTGTATAACATGTAAATGAAATGTTCTCTTTAATTAGTACTTTATTAAGGTTTATTACACTATCTTAGTATTGTTTTATAACATGTGAATGCTCACTGTGTGCTGATTGCATCATTTATTTTATATCATATTTTCAAACCAAACTGCCTGTGTCATAGAGTAGAAAATAAGTTTGGTTTGGATGTGCAATTGTACATAACAATTGTAATCAGTTGCAAAAAATTGCAAAATAAATGTAATTTATTTTTCATGTTTTTGTTTGTATTTCTTACGTTTATTCAGACATGAGGCTTTTTAGCTCACCAGAGCATGCTCAGGGTGAGCTTTTAGGATCGATGATTGTCCGTCGTCCGTTCACATTTAGTTGTTAACACTCTAGCGGTCGCATTTTTGCCTCAATCATCGTCAAACTTGGTCAGGATGCTTATCTAGTTGATAGCTCGGATGAGTTCGAACATGGGTCATCTCGAATGAAAAACTAGCACAATATGAATTTCTTATTGAAAAATTATCATTGTTTATTGGGCAGTAATTTTCATGCCTAGGTCAATTTACTAATGTTAGATTCAAGGAAATTCATTTTGTCTGCATAAGATTATTTCCCATACCATTATTATACCCCCCCCCCCCTTTGACCCACAGTCTTCATATTTGGCATGGAGGTTAGTCATGACCCTTTTGATTTGAGGTCAAAGTCACAGGGGCCTTGACTAATAAAAGCTGTCCGCCCAATAACTTAAGAATTCTTTGACCCACAGTCTTCATATTTGGCATATAGGTAAGAATGATTAGTAGATGACCTCTTTTGATTTTAAGGTCAAAGGTCACTGGGGCCTTGACTAAAAAAGCTGTCCACACAATTGCTTAAGAATGCTTTGACCCACAGTCTTCATATTTGGCATGGAGGTGGATCATGACCATTTACTGACTCCTATTGACTTTGAAGTCACTGGGTCAAGGTGACAGGGGCCTTTAGTTCAAAAAGCTTTTCCACTCAATTGATTAGGAATGCTTTGGTCAACAGTCTTAATATGATCGCTAACCGCACAGGTTCAAACCCAGTCAGGGGCAAGTTGTTGTTAACTACACTCATTGCTCAGTACTAGTTGGTTCCAGTAACG